CTCAGGGTGGCTCGGCATGAGCCGAGCCACCCTCAGGTGGCCCGACTCCCCCCCCCTCTCTCTCTTGTGCACAAAGGCACAGTTCAGAGAGGCTATAAATAGGGGGGGTGGTTGTTCATTTGAGGGACTTCTTCTGAAACTTTTGAGAGAGCCGAAACTCTGCCGGATTGTCACCTCAACTCGGAGATCTGAAGGCTTGAAGACTTGGAGACCCGGATTTGATTCTTAGCGAGCACCCGCACCGAAAAAGGCAGGAGTTCGAGAGAGTCTAATCCCCAGATCTACGTCGTTACACTCCGGATCTAAGCTTGGTTCTTAGATCCCGAGATTCGAGCGGTCGTTTCCTTGGTGAAACGATCCCTCCCGGCTATTATCTCCTTGGTGGGATAATACCCGTAATACGTCGTAGATCTGCTTGGATCCAGATCACGCGGTGGTCCACGGTAAGCAACCCCGGCGCAGGCAAACAACCCACAGAAGCAAGAGACCGAATAACAGGATCTTGTGATTTGTTCGGTAAAAGAGAGAAGTTGTAATTTTGATTTCTTTGTTTTATTTTGATTTTCATTGTAAGCCGGATCTTATAAAAAGACCGGATCTCTTTGTAACGCATAAAGTTGTTAACTGAGTGCAATGACATCGATAATGAAGAAAACACCAACTTTTCCCGCGAACACCTGTATGATAACTACCATATCGGGGCTTTTAGTGCACACGATAGCACGATTTGTAGGCACGTCTATGTTTCCTTTTTGGCCATGTACATGTCTTGAACTGAAACTCCGAGATATTTAGCTAGAATTCCGAAATTCTGGTATAGTCTTTTACACGAGCTATCGTGGGTTGAAACTAACTCTGTATTAGGCCCACTATGTAGGTTTAATCGGATTTTTAATGATAAATCCCATTTTGTAGAATAGTGCCATTTTCCATTTGTATTAGCTTGCTATTCCTCAATTTCTGGTGTAATCAAATTATTACCACTTTGTTGCAGATATGTCGCCTAAGAGATCCCGCATTCCTAGAAGTTGTTCGGCGAATCAGTCGCCCGACGCGACGCCCTTTAATCGCATAGGTATAACTTCATCGTTTCTTTTTATTCATGAACTCAATATATCATTCTGTATGTTGCATCCCCACTTTGTTCTCCTTGGTGAGGCAATTGGGAAGAGTCGCTACTCTCCTTCGTGGGAGTGGACGCTTCACAAGACTTGTTTCCCTTGGTCGACGCATGTCTAAATTAACTTGGGGCGATTTCCTACTGCGCTATATTCCGGAGGGCGGGTATATTATCACGTTATTCACGTGACGATATATCCCGTACTTCGTGTGTATAACGTAGTTCTTAATCGTCTCGCCTAGTTAATTAGCTCTTTTATTTTCTTTTAGCCAAAATTTGTTATGAATAAAGATCTTGCATGATGTCCCCATTTTACTTTTCCCAGTGAGGTAATTGGGAAGAGCTACCACTCTCCTTCGTGGGAGTGGACGTTTCACGAAACGTGTTTTGCTTGGTTGAAACATGTTTTAAGACATGGGGCGATCTCATGTTGTGTCGCGTTACGTGGGCTAGGGTATGTTATCGCGTTATCCGTGTGGTAATATGCCTTGTCCTTTACGTGCACGATGTGATTGAGATCGTCTCACCCTTTATAAGGTCGTGACTCTATCTTATAGTTCGTGAGATAAGTTCAATGCTTATACTGTCTTAACATAGGTATTTATGACTGTGTCAATAATCGTACATCGTTTTACCTCAGTTAATTTTCCCTCGAGGGCACTCAATACTCTCGGAGTGGAAGGTCGCTCTAGTGAGGACTACGCCACCATTGACGAACCTATCCCTCTACCAACGGCCCCTTAATTTGCTTCAGATGCACCAGACGAACTTCTGCAATTAATTTGGAAGGGAGAGCATCGTACCTTAAGGAAACTGATTACTGATGTGCCTTTAGTGAAGGACCCAAGTTCCACACATCCGTTGAGGAAGCCAGAGTATCTGTTCGGCGATTCTACTAAAGATCCAGCTACCGTGTCTGTAGAAGTCGAACAATGGCTGCATCATTGTTTCTATCAAAAGTTGCTTTCATTGTCATCAAACCTTTTACATCGTTTATCAATTACAAGTTCGAATAAAACAAAGAAAAGTTAATCTTTTTATAAGATCTTCTTACATTGAAAAATATGATTATAACTTTATCAAACAAAACGTAGAGAATGTTTATCACCCGTTACTTTGCGTGGGATCTTTGCCTGTGCCGGGGACGCGTTAGTCCGTGGACCACTACAGATTAGATCCGGTTGACAAGTGTGATTATGCTCTTGTTTCACGAAGGAAACAATTGCTGCAGCGATAATCACGACCAAGCGAGATTGTGGCTCTTCTCGAGATCAAAACAAAGTTTTATCCGAAGGAAGGAGGGGGAGAGAATCTCAGATCTTTCGAAGGCTGTTTCTTTATGAAGAAGTTCACAAGGATCTGCCAATTCTCCTCTGAAATTTGTGGTCTACTGTTCAATTAGACAGCACCTCACCCTCAGATTTCAGATCCTTTTAAATGAGGGCTCTGGGCTTCTATTTATAGGCTTTTGCCACCGTGTTTTCTGATAAGATCAAGTGCTTTGACGTCATCTATAGTTGATAACTTCCTAGGCAAACTTAAGGATAACTTCAGAACAATTAGGGAGGTCCTGGGACTTAAGAATTCTAATAAAACATTGAAATCCGTGTTTTAGAAGGTTTGGGAGGCCCAGATAGTTGTGGTGACTCGGAGCTGTGCGAGTCACCATTTGGTGACTCGGAGCAGTGCGAGTCACCTGGCCAAGTGTATTGTCTTTTTGACTCTTTTGGCTGTTTGCAATTCTTTCGGTTCACTTGCTCTCCCCTTTACGCGTGTTTCGTCAATTTGTTAATTTGTATGCTTTTACTGATTTGCTTCATGCGTTTTATCGTCATCAGATAAACTTCTTTGACTATGATGATGTTGGTCATCGTCTTCTCTTTGTCTTGAGCCACATTGGGGAACCCATCGGCAATTTTGGACGTCTATAAATACCCCCTCCAAAGCGTTCTAGACTCGTTTCTTTTATAGAAGAGTCTGGAATGCTTTGGATATGATAGGCCCAACCTTCAGTCGGTATGACCAGACCAGTAATTGGTTTCAGCTCTTAGCTTCTTTAGTCTTCAATCTAGTTGGTATTTTGTCATATAATCTTCTAGTATGAGAATTTAAACTAAGCTAATTCTCATATTGTGATCTAGTTAACTAAGTCATAGCATGCATACAAACTTAACATGTAAACCTAAGTTAACCATGCTTTAAACCTTGATTAGAGATAACCAAATCATTAAATACCTAATTTGAACACTCTAATTAACATAATTGTTTAATTTTGGTCAGCCATGTTAGTAGGAGTATTTTACATTTTAAACCCTCATCTTTGGCCAAATTGAAGATTTCTCTTCACATGGGCTTATATATATGTGCCCTCCACCTCTCATTTTGCCATTCTAAAGAAAAAAAAACTCTCCAAACCTTCATCCCTCTCCTCTGGCCAACCAAACCCCAGCCCCTCTCCTCTTGTAAAAAAAAAAGAAGAAAAATAAATAGATTCCATAAGCTCCAAACATTGAAGAAGAAGGAGAGGAGAAAGGAGTTAGTTGAGGATTTTGGAGGAGGAAGTGAAGCAAGTCTCAATACTATGACAGAGAATCTTGGATTCATTCGTTGGCCGAGAGGATCCTGGCATAATCGGTAGGTAACCTTTCATTGTTTCCTCTCAAGTCTTTGAGAGTTCGATTGATTACTTTCTTGAAGTTCCTGCGAGTTAGTTTCCCATGCTAATTGTATATCTTATCATTTTCATAATATTCCTATTTGATTCACCTCATGCATGGGCTCGTTGTTGATTGGTTAATCATTGCTATCCTAATGTTGTTTATTTCAGTTTTATACCTTCGATATCCTTGAATGATTTCATTGCAACAATTCTAATTGATTCGATGGTTCAACTATTGATAATGATAGTATTCCTCTCTTCGTTGATGATTGATTGTCTATATTCATGGATTATGCCCTGTGTGAAGTAAGCTTCACCGGTGGGTTGTAATGTTATAGTGTCCCGGTAGGACAATGCCCTGTGTGAGGACGCTCACCGGTGGGTGTATAAAGGCATGCGCGATTTATTGATTATCCCACGATTGGGGAGTTTGGAATCCTGAATATTAGACCTTGATTATTCATCTTTATATGTTATTTCACTTCGGTCAATGATTAGGATATAAGAATGGCAACTTAATGTTGAGACCCCGTTGTTCAAGTTTGATATCTATGTCTATCATTTTCATTCGTTCCCTTGGATTGTACCCGAGATTTTTATGGTTACCTATTGGGCCTTAGGCTCACCCCTATTATTTCTAAATCCACTCGCAGGTCATACAACTGGCAAGGATAAGGGCATTGTGGACCCTGAATTTGAAGATTAGCTCCAGTGGAAAATCTTAATAGGGGTTAATTTATGTTCACTTTTGTAGTACCTTTGACTTATAAAACATGTATTAATGTTGTAGCCACTGCTATTATTGTAATATTTTGTATTACCCTTTAGTTCTCTTCTATTTTGGTATTCTATGGACTCTGTTGTCAACCTCGTGATCTATGGTATTGCATATGCATCTCCACTTCTTTATTTTTCGCCCTTCAGTATATCTATGTTGTGATGTGCATAAAGATTTAGCAGGTCGACCCTTCTTATTACAGATAGGTCATGCTCAAATTTTTATGTACCTCACAGAGGAGGGGCGTTTCAGAGTGGTATCAGAGCACATGTTGACACCTTAAGAGTCCTACATTGAAATACCTAGGGGACGTAGGGATCTTTCTAGTCGGTGTCAAACACCAGTCATGGAGGAATTATCTTTCCATGACGTTCTTATGATATCTAGATTTCTATTAGGTTGGTTTTGTACCATTGGAGGCTGATAGATGACTTTTGGCAGGAATGGCAGATTCAGATTCGAGTGTTTCTGAGATGGAAGGATCCATTAGTAGCGGGGAGGTGTGGTCAACACTTTCAGAGGATTGGGAGATCAGCTCTGAGGAGACTGACCCAGAGGAGATGTTTGGGGAGAGAGTGGATTACTCCCCGATTGTCCATCACACCCGTGGGCGATTAGCGAAGAGGGATGAGGAGGAGGACCCGATAGAGGAGGATCCCGAGGAGGAGGACCCGATAGAGGAGGACCCCGAGGAGGAGGACCCGATAGAGGAGGACCCCGAGGAGGAGGACCCGATAGAGGACCCCGAGGAGGAGGACTTGATAGAGGAGGACCCCAAGGAGGAGGACCCGATAGAGGAGGATCCCGAGGAGGAGGACCCAGAGGAGGACCCCGAGGATCCTATGGACGATGAGGAGCCCATGGAGTGGGAATTTGAGGTGGCACCAGAGGCTCTACATGGTGAGATCCTAGAAGGAGTTCCACTTGGTTGGGAGCTTGACCTAGATGAGGAGGAATGGGCATGGGAGGATGAGCCGATGGTGGAGGATCCTGCAGAGGATGAAGAGCAGGCGGAGATTAGCCTCGATGGTAGTGAACCACAGCCGACTGAGGCCTCTGATACGGAATCTACTTCTAGCAGCCCTTCCACCTCTTCCTAGAGGTTGACCCATTGGGTCACTAACCTTAGGAATCATATTACTTTTGGCTTTTGGGTGGACACCCAAGTGTGGTGTATTTTGGGACTGCATACTTTTTATCTATATATTAGATATGGATTATTGTACTTTTGTAGAACTCTTGTATGGATGAATAGGTGTATGTTAATATTATATCAATGAAAAGCTTTTGGAGAAATCAGTACTCTAAGTTGATTGTTGAAGTTCCTTATATATATTATGCGAGCAATGAAATATTTCTGAGTGAAGTACTTTGAATAGTCTGTGGAATCTGAACTTTTGCTGCTACATTTTCATATAGATAATGGTGAGAACAAGAGCAAATCAGACCCAAAATGAGGAAGGACATCACCTGGAGAATATTGAAGAAGGATCTTCTGTTCCTATCGGAATGAGAAGGAGGAATGCCGGCAAACGGCCTGTTGATCAAGAAGAACCAATGCAAGACCCATTGGAACGATTGGCAGAGATCCTCAAGCAGCGTATCAATCCTAGAGGCAACCAACCAACACCTACTATCTCAGCCCTAGAATAGTTTCGGAAGCTCACACCTCCATCTTTTTAGGTACCACCGACCCTTTGGTGGCGGAGGATTGGATTTTACAAATGGAGAAGATTTTTACAGTCTTAAATTGTGCAGAGGAGCAAAAGGTGTCATACGCCGCCTTCATGTTCAGAGGGGAAGCTGAACATTGGTGGAGGGCAACCTTAAGATTAGAAAGAGCTGCCCAGAGACAGATTGATTGGGATAGATTTGTGGAGCTTATGAATAAGAAATATATCCCAGAGAGTGTTAGGGATCAGTGGAGAGTGTTAGGGATCAGTGGGCTATTGAATTTCAAGGTTTGCAACAAAATAACATGACAGTCCAAGAGTATGAGGCTAAGTTTACTCAACTATCAAGGTTTGCTCCACATTTGATCGCTGAAGAATCAGATAAGGCTAAGAAGTTTCAAAGGGGACTCAGGGGAAATATCAGAGGGAAACTTGTGGCCCACAGAATCAGGAACTACGCAGAACTGGTGGAGACTGCGTTTGAAATTGAGAAAGACCAGCTGGAGTATCAGTAGATCCGCAATAAGAAGCAGAGTTCAGTTAAACGCCCACGAACAAAAGGAAGTCCCACAACCGATAAGTCAGCATCGAATCAGCCCAGGAGGTCAGCGACAGCAAAATTTCCCTTTCGTCGTGATCGAGCAAATCAGCCAAATAAGTCAGCAGCCTACCCTAGATGTGGCAATCATCACTCTGGATATTGCAGACTTCACCGTGCATGTTTAGAGTGTGGTCAACCTGGGCACTTCAAGAGAGATTGTCTAACCTTGAGGAATCAAGCAATAACAGAGCGAGCACCAAGAGGAGATCACGCAGCTCGAACTAATGCCTCACAGCAATCAAATGCTCCCCAGCGGAAGGCTCAGTCCAACCAGAGTGTGTAGCAGAACCAAAGGAACCAAGGAAGAGTTTTTGCTCTGACAAGGAAGGATGCACAAGCATCACCATCTGTGGTGGAAGGTATAGTTCCCATATGTTCATTCACCGCTCATGCACTTTTCGACCCTGGATCTACACACTCTTTTGTATCACCTCACTTTGCTAGGAATTTTCCCAATTCACCGACACTATTAAGTAGTGAGATAATTGTGTCCACACCTATGGGTGGTAGTCTCCTAGCAACATATGTTTATGAGAATTATGGAGTTTTAGTGAGTGATCATGTCATGAATGCACACCTTGTATGCCTAGACATGTCAGATTTTGATGTTATCCTAGGAATGGATTGGTTAGCATCTCATCATGCAATTATAGACTGTTTGAGAAAACTGATAAAGTTTAAACCACAAGCGGAGGCGAGTTTTGTTTTCCAAGGGGAAAGTAGAAGACCACTCGCGCACCTAATCTCATTTATGAAGGCTAATAAATTATTGAGGCAAGGTTGTAGTGGATATTTATCTTTTTGATAATTGACCAATTGAATGAGAAAAAGCTTTCAGATATACTTGTTGTAAGAGATTACCCGGATGTCTTTCCAGAAGATTTGCTAGGATTGCCTCCATATCGAGAGATAGAGTTTGCCATAGACTTGGTCCCAGGGACCATTCCTATATCTAAAGCCCCTTATAGATTGGTGCCAGTTGAGATGAAGGAACTAAAGGAACAACTTCAAGAGTTATTGGATAAAGGATTCATTAGACCCAGCGTGTCTCCATGGGGAGCACCAGTCTTATTCGTAAAAAAGAAAGATGGGAGTATGAGACTCTGTATAGATTACAGACAGTTGAATAAACTAACCATTAAGAATAAGTATCCACTCCCAAGGATAGATGATCTATTTGATCAGCTTCAAGGAGCTCAATATTTTTCCAAAATTGATTTAAGGTCAGGGTACCATCAGTTAAAGATTAAGCCTGAGGACGTAGTAAAAACAGCATTCAGGACTCGCTACGGTCACTATGAATTTTTAGTGATGCCTTTTGGACTGACTAATGCGCCGGCCACATTCATGGATCTGATGAATCGGATATTCAAACAATATTTGGGTCAATTTGTGGTGGTTTTCATTGATGACATATTGATCTATTCTAAGAGTTACCAAGAACATGAAGAACATTTGAAGATTGTATTGCAAATCCTAAGAGAGTAACAGCTATACGCAAAGTTTAAGAAGTGTGAATTCTGGCTGGAAAAGGTGATGTTTTTATGCCATGTGATCACTAGAGATGGGATATCCGTGGATCTAGCGAAGGTTGAAGCTGTTGTGAACTGGCCCCGACCCACCTCAGTGACTGAGATTCGTAGCTTTTTAGGACTAGCAAGATATTATAGAAGATTTATTAAAGACTTTTCCCAATTAGCAGCCCCTTTAACTTATTTGACTTGTAGGAATGTTAAGTATAATTGGAGTGAGAAATGCGAAGAGCATTTTCAGGAGTTGAAGAAACGGTTGGTAACCGCTCCCATCCTCACTATCCCTACGAGTTCAGATAAGTTTGTGATATATAGTGATGCATCTTCCAGAGGTTTAGGTTGTGTTCTAATGCAGAATGAGAAGGTAGTGGCTTATGCCTCTAGGCAATTGAGACCTCATGAGAAGAATTACCCCACTCATGATCTGGAATTAGCTGCTGTGATTTTTGCCCTGAAGATATGGAGACACTATCTATATAGGGTATCATGTGATATTTATACAGATCATAAGAGCCTAAAGTACATATTTACTCAGAAGGAGATTAACATGAGGCAAAGAAGGTGGTTGGAATTGCTGAAAGACTACGATGTAAATATTCTTTACCATCCAGGTAAAGTGAATGAAGTAGCAGATGCACTCAGTCGGAAGAATCATATTGCATCAGCTTGTTTGCTAACTAAACAAGCCAAGTTAAGTAAGGAGCTTGGGAGAATGGAGATTGAAGTTAGAAAGTATTCTTCTGGAATGAAGATTTTTCAGATAAGCCTATAACCTACTCTGTTGGACTAAATCAAGGAGTGACAGAAGGAAGACAAGGAGCTAAGTGAGATAAGGAAGAAGGTGGAACAAGGAAAATATTCAGACTTTAAGATTCAAGATGGTGTTTTGAAGATGGGTAATCGCCTTTGTGTACCCAATGATGGGGAGCTTAAGGATCAGATATTGACAGAAGCTCACCAGACCCTATATGCTCTTCATCCGAGTAGCACCAAGATGTATCAGAACCTCCGACAAAACTTCTGGTGGAACTGCATGAAGGAGGAGATAGCTGAATTTGTATCAAAATGTTTAACATGCCAACAGGTGAAGATTGAACATCAGAAACCATTAGGACTATTACAACCTTTGCCCATCCCAGAATGGAAGTGGGATCACATCACCATGGATTTTGTTATTGGACTACCCCGATCAACAAAAGGAGAGGATGCCATATGGGTGGTAGTTGACCGCCTGACCAAGTCAGCGCACTTCATACCCTACAGGATGTCGTATACCATGGAAAAGTTGACCAGCTTATACATTGAAGACATCGTGAAGCTCCACGGGATTCCCATATCCATTGTATCAGATCGAGACCCCCCTTTTACCTTAAGATTTTGGAAGAGCCTACATCAAGCTTTAGGGACTAAACTGAAGTTCAGCACTTCAGCCCATCCTCAAACTGATGGATAATTTGACAGAATGATACAGACCCTGGAGGACATGTTGAGAGCTTGCACCTTAGATTTTGGAGGCAATTGGGCTACGCATTTGCCGCTAGTAGAGTTCGCCTATAATAATAGCTTTCATTCTAGCATTAGCATGGCACCTTATGAAGCCCTATATGGGAGGCGATGTAGATCCCCTATCTGTTGGGAAGAGACCGGTGATCGTCAACTACTTGGACCAGACGTAATCCAGGAGATGATTGAGAAGATCCAAACTATTCGACAACATATGCAGACGGCCCAAAGCAGGCAAAAGAGCTATGCAGATCATCGACGCAAGGACCTAGAATTCCAGGTTAGTGATCATGTGTTTCTAAAGGATACACCAATGAAAGGAATAACAAGAGGTGGAAAGAAATGCAAACTCCGTCCGAGATACCTTGGGCCATTCAAAATTTTGGAGAAGATCGGACCTGTAGCCTACTGGCTAGCCTTGCCCCTAGAATTAGAGAAGATTCATAACGTGTTCCACATCTCAAACCTAAAAAAGTACATGCCAGACCCTGGACATATCATTTCACACCAAGCCTGGCCCATGCGGGAGGATCTATCTTATGAAGAACGGTTCGAGTGCTAGGCTTTAAGGAGAAGCAGTTGAGAAACAAATCCATATTGGTGGTTAAAGTTTTATGGAATAATCGAGGCATTAAGGAGGCAACATGGGAACTAGAATCTGAGATGCGAAAAACATATCCACATTTATTTTGAGGGTACGTAAAAATTTTGGGGACGAAATTTCCTTAAGGGGGGAACTATGTAACATTCCAAATTTTTTTTCCTTTCATTGATCAGATACCATTACCGAT